GGGGTTAGGTGACTTGCCCAGGGTCACATAGCTAGTAAGGATCAAGTGTCAGAGACCTGATGTAAACCCAGTTCCTCCTGACTCCAGGGCTGGTGCTCTATCCACTGTGCCACCTAGTTTGCCCTCCCCACTACCCCTTTTCTAAATTTCAGTCAGTCAACAAACTTTATTAAGTAAGTATGTGATGCCAGGCGTTGTGCTAGGCACTGGGAAGACAAATACAAAAGAAAAATCCCTCCTCTGAAGGAGCTTACATTCTAATGAAGGAAACTCTTTGTGTGTGTATTTAAGCTTAATATCTACACCAAGACTTTTGGGACAACCTGTTTGTGTTTTTTTCTGTATGTACTTACGTATATGCATGTTGTATATAGTAGAATGTAAGCTATTTGAGTGCAGAAACTGTTTAATTTTTACTTTTTGTGTCCCTCTTGCCTAGGACAGCACATAGTAGGTGCTTAACAAATGTTGGTTGTTTTTATATTCTTTAACATATCCAAAAGTGAAATAAACACAAACAGCATCTCCTTCCTCAAACATTTGGCATATTAGCCTTTATAAGTGGAAAAATATTTTCTGTGCTAAATTATCAAAGGGATGATAAAAATTGAATTTTTGTTTTTATTCAGACAATAAAGAGAGTAATTTTTCATATTATATAGTTCGTTAAAGTTTGTAAAACGTGAAGCTGTCTCTCAAATCCAGCCCTGGGTACTTTTGATGAAAGGTAGCTACTGTTTGGCTGTTACAGTGGTTTCCAAACTTTATATAATAGTAATGCAATTGGTGCAAACTATTTTCTTAGCTTATATTTTGGTCATAAAATCATTAATTCATTAAAATTTTGTAGCACACAAACCTTTAAACATACACAGCTACTAATTTATTAATGAGCTCCTTTAGAACTTTTACATTTATAATTTATAAAATAACCATAATAATATAATTATTAATATGGTGGTTGAGCTTGGTTTTGGTAGTTTCTCCTAACCTGGTGCCATTGATAATACTACTACTCACACTCTTTTTTAATGACTGATTGGGATGGAAATTTTGTCTTCATAATAGCTACAGCACAAAACCCTGTTTCATAGAAACAAAATGTTATAAATAGTAGCAAGTTTTTTATCACTTTAAAAAAATTTTTTTTATCACTTTTTGATAAACAGGGGAATCCCTTATTCTCCTGTAGCCAAAATATAAATATTTCAGTTTTAAACATACTTTCTCAAGACAAGTCTTTTGATATTTGTGTTTAGAGTGAAATTAGATGTCATATTCATCCCTAGCAAGCAGGTTCCTTATTCATATAAGTCTTTAAAATAAATTGAAAATTGCTTCTACAGACTGGTCAAATGATTAATAAATGTTTTTTATTTAATGTGTAGGTCAGGCATTTTTCTAATTGGGGAATTTATTTAAATTAGGATACTTATTAGTCACCTTCTGTTGTGCTGTGCACACTAAACTTTTAGGCACTAGGAATGCCAAAGACAAAAATGAAATTATTTTCTTTCAAGAGTCATATAAAAATATTATTTTGAAAATATATTACACATAGTTCTTAACTTTTTCACAAATAGAATCACTGTATCTTTCTGGATTTGAGTATGAGTATAAGGACTTTACATTGATTTATTTAGAATACTTAGTTTTTCAAAAATATCCACCAAGTATGTAAGCTTTAGGGGCAAATTTTTATTAACATCTTGTTTTTACATCATTACTTTTATTTCCAAATAAGTCCTTTCCCCATCTCTTACCCAGAGAGCCATTGCTTAAATTTTTTAAAAAACTTAAAGGCTGGTTTATCAAAACTAGCAACATATCAACCAGGTCTGGTGGTATTTGCAGTGTTCCACACCAATAGTTCTGCATTTATTCAATGAAGAGAAGTAGCTACAAGGAATGGAGCCAAGCTTGGCCACTATAATTACACGGCAACCATATGAATAAATGCCCCAAATCAATAATGACAAGAGACATGCAAATCAAAACCACTCTGAGGTTTCACATTACATACAGCAGACTGGCAGTGACAAAAATGGGAATTGCTGATGTTGTTAGAGTATACTACAGCATTCTGTAAGTAGAGCTGTGAATTGGTCCAACCATTCTGGAAAGTATTTTGGAATTATTTGAAGAAAGGGACTAAAATTTCAATACCCTGAGACCTAGGGATTCCTCTGCTAGGCACATACTCCAAGAAGGTCAGTGATGAAAGGCCCCATATACACCAAAATATTTGTGGTAGTTAAGAACTGGGAAACAAAGTGATGCCCATTAATTAAAGAAGAATAAACAAGTTCTGGTATTTGAATAGAATATTATTGTGCTGTAAAAAGCGTGGAATAACTTATATGAGCTAAAGCAAAGATAAGCAGAACCAGGAAAGCTAATAAGGAGATACTGTGATACTTGACTGGTGTGTTGGTTAGTTTTGATGAACTGTTTTCCCTCCTAGTCTGTATTATAAGGAATGGGGATAGCTCTCTGGATGGGGAGGGAAGTAAGGAGAAGTATATTAGAAACTTAAGGTGATGTAAAAACAAAAAATATCAATTTTTTTTTCCAAAAGAAGCTGAAGGTATATATGAAGAAAAATCTTATTTGCTGTGTTGGTTTTGCTGAACTTATTTTCCATTTTTATAAAGGATGGTATTCTGGGACAGGGTATATATTGGGATGTATTAGAAAATGTAGGTGATATAAAAACAATATGTTAATAAATATTTTTAAATTATGTTTTCAAGTTTACAGAAGACAACAAAAATGTAGAATGGAACACAAGTTTTTTTATTTAATTGAATATATATATATTCTTTAAGAATGAAAAAATGGTAACATGCTTGCAATTTCTTATACAAGCCCCTTTCGTTCTTTTTAAAAAATGAATTGTTTAATTAAATCCATATAAAAATAAAATTTCAGAAAACCACATAGTCATATTAAAATTTCGTTGATGTTGCCTTTTGTTGGAGAAGCAGGGTGATAGCTGAATAGATCATATCAATGAAATCCTTACCTCAGTAAATTTTAGGTTTTTTGGTAGAAGTTTTCAATTTCAATATGTACTTTTGAGTGTTTTGTTCTTACTAATAGTAAACTCCTAAGAGGAACAGGAAATAATTCCATTGAAGGGGCAAAAACAGTTGGATTGTAAAGATCAGTGAGATAATGTATATAAAATGCTTTTTAAACTATAAAGCACAATATAATTAACAGGTATTTTTCAGTATAGTCTACTTGCTTTTGTATGCAGAAGGTAAAACTTAGCCAGAGAAGCTAGAATTATGAAAAGAAAAGCCAATTATTTTAATTCTAATGTAGTGTATCCTTAGTGGTAGGGTAAACCCTAAACATTTTGTTTAATGAATAGCATTAAGCAAGTTTTCTTTTTCTTAGGGGATGATGGAACCAGCAAGGAAGCTACAAGCACAGGGAAGTTAAACCAGGAGAATGAGCACATCTATAACCTGTGGTGTTCAGGCCGAGTGTGCTGTGAGGGCATGCTTATACAGCTGAAGGTCAGTAGGGAAACTTTGGAAGTATAGAAGTTCTTGATCTTCTTTCATTCTTCTATAGCTATTTCCTAAGGTGTAGTGCTTGCTACTCATTTGTAACCTAGGTGGTCAAGATACTATCTACTTGCTACATGAAAGAAATAATTTTGTAGAGAATGTTTGATGAAATTTTGGATTACCAGATAAGTGCCAGTTGTTCTAAGGGTTCCCAACCAGATGTATTATACTTGTATTTTCAGTTTCTCAAGAGACAAGATCTCCTGAATGTCCTGGCTCGAATGATGAGGCCAACCTGTGATCAAGTGGTATGTATGCCTTCCAGTTAGTTTTTCTGTGTACAGTTTGAGTTCCCAGTGTGTATAGATCATTACCTTCCTAAATTGACTATCATTTGTGGGCAAAAAAAACCAAAACCTTGGATTTCTCCTGAACTGTTTTTCTGTTTCTCAAAACAATTTATCAAAGTAAGTCAAATAGATCTGGGAATATTAGATTTTTAATTCATGTAGTTTTGTGTTGTGGTCTGTGTACTTAGTGACCTTAATATCAAGTGGATCTTTCTCCTTAATTATAGTTATTCTGTTAACCATCAAATTGTGATTTTCTCTTGATTAAAAATATAACATTTCGAAATAGGCAGATTGCCATTCATTCATTCATTAAATATTTATTGTTCACTTAGGGTGGTTACTATGTTCAAGGCACTATTCTGGGGCCATGTTCGATCCAAATTGTAAAAAATACACTTCTAAGTGTTCAGGAGCTTACAGTTTAGTAGGAAAAATAACACATACATAAAAATTTTAGACATAAATGTCTAAAATTCAGTGCAGTGTGTGATAAGTGCTTAAGAATGATGCAGATTAAGTATCTTGAAATAGTTGTTAGATTGAATCTCTTTTTCCTGATTTTAAAGCCTCTATCTACTTCTCTGCATGAAAAGTAGTGAGATGTGATGGCTAGAAGGGCCAGTCTTAGAAGTCAGAAGACCTGAGTTCAATTCTTGCATTTGACTCAGATCATAAGGAAATCAGTTAACCTTTCGATGCCCCTAGCAACTGTTTATGAGTTGATCCATATTACAGAGAGTTTACTGATCTTCATGAGTGGAGGGAATTTCACACCAGGAATTCCCTACAATGATAAAATCACCCGTTTGGACATCACCTCCTCTCTGTCCCACCACCCCCACCCCAATCCATTACATACTTTTCCTGTTTTTTTTCCCCACTTTGAAATAAGCTAATACAAATGTATTTTGAGATTACTTTATATGAAGAATCAAGTCATATAATTTTTAATAGGGATGCTAACATTGCTTATTTATCTTTATTTCTTCCTCAAAAGTACAATATTGATGCTATGTTTAACAACCCACTTAGCAAATCTTAAGCCTATAAATGGACTTTACTACTTGTTTATAAACCCAGTGTAACACCTATTTTCAGCAAATAAAAGTAACAATGAATGATGAAGATATGGATACGTATGTTTTTGCTGTTGGCACACGAAGAGCCTTGGTACGACTACAGAAGGAGATGCAGGACCTGGTATGTATGTTCTGACTTAAATTTAAAGAGAAAAAAATTAAATCCTTTTTATTTTCTCCCATATTAAATCTTACATTTCTTTGTTAATTGACTATTACTTAAATTATGTTTAAAATCACTTAGAAATAAGTTAGTGAGTGAAGCACCTTCACTATCATGTGCATACTTAGGTGTATAAGGTGGTTGGTGTACTTTCTAATAAAGAAGAATAGGCCCATTAAGGATATGATGGGAAAGAAAAGATAAAACTCTTTGTCATTCTCCTGGGGTGGGTAATAAGGTTTCTAAATTAATATTAGAAATGTTCCATTAGGCAATTGATAATTTTTTTTCTTGGATATTAAGATCCTACATTTCTCTTCCTATTTTCAACAGTGTGAATTTTGTAGTGACAAGCCCAAGTCTGGAACAAAGTATGGACTTCCAGACTCCTTGGCCATCTTGTCAGAAATGGGAGAAGTCACAGAGGGAATGATGGATACAAAGGTAAATGCTAAATGCGGTAGAAAAAATGTCTCTGCGGGATTTTGCATTTACAGGATACATACCTTTAAAGCTATAAAAATTTTAAACTTTTGCAGCTAATTTGTACTGTTTCTACACACAGATGTTAAAATGAAAACAGAAGAAGGCATTACTTCTAGGGAATTGATTAAATAATATTTTGTTTTGTTAAAATGTTTTCTTCTCCAATTAAACAGCACAGTTTGCATAGGATAGCTAACCTTTGGGGTGTTTTTGTTTTGTTTTGTTTTGTTTTGTTTTTAGGCTGTTTTAAAATATATTCTCCTGGGGTTTTTTTTTTTCAGGGAGAAAGAATATAGTACTACCATTATTGTTCCTATCAGGAATCACACTGGTGATTAGTCTGTGTCTCTTAAGTTTCTGTTAGGGTGGGGAGAAAAGGCTGTAGAAATAAACACCTAGATATTGGTTGTATAAGGATAAGAACAAATCCTGTTATCTCAGGCTTTATATCTTAGAACCACTAGGATATCAATTCACATCTATTTAGCAAAGCTGTATTAAACATTTATTATATGTAAGACACTTCATTAGGCACTGGGATACAAAGATGAAATAAGACATTATCTTTGCCTTTCCAGTAGCTTAAGGTTTAAAAAATATGTATCCAGGGAACTGTGGTGCCAGACAGAATGTGTTAAATTCAAAAGAGGAACCCAGACAAAATGTTTTGAGATATTTGAGAAATGAGATGTGACTTTCAACCGGGAAAATCAGGAAAGGCTTAAGGGAAGAGGTAATCCCTGAAGTTTGATTCATGAAGGAAGGAATTTCCATAAGGCAAAGATTGGGTATTTGGTATGGGAGTATCCATTCAGGGCACTGAGATAAACAAAGGCAAAGAAGCAGAAGGAAAATTAAGAATGATGAGTAGGTAATCAATGGGTTGGAACATTGAGTATAGAAAGGAGAGTGGTTTAAGACAGACTTACAAAGGTAGGTTGAAGTCATTCTGGAGGTGTTTGAATGCCAAGATAAGCTTTACTTTATTCAACAGGAAGTCAGGAACTACTGAAAGATGTCAAGAAGATGAGAAGTGAGCTCAGAGCAGTGCATTAGGGAACTTGCTTGTGTAACGGTGTAAGATGGAGGATGGACTAGAGAGATTAGTTAGGAGGTCATTGCAGTCATTCAGGTGAGAGGTCATGGTAACATTGGGATTGGAAAAGATGAACAAGGTGTGAGAGAAACATTCCCCAAGTAAGTTCAGGTGGCCTTGGTGATAGATGAAGGTGAGAGAGAGGCACACAGGAAAACCAGAGGTAGGAAGACAACAGTACCATCAATTGAATTAGTGAAGTGAGGAATAAAGTTGAAGGTTTGAGGAAGAAGATGATTTGTCCAATTTTTTGTGCTTCAGGGTAGAATAAGTATAGGTTGATATATTACAGAGGTCCCATTAAAATTACTTGTAGTTTCTATGTCTTTTTACTTTGACTTCGTAGCATATGCTACGTAGATAATTATCTGTCTATTATGTTTTCTCCTTCCATTTGAGAAGAAACTTGGGAATGATTTAGCATCTATGTTATGGCTATAACAGGCAACCTTTTATCATAGACTTGTAATCAGGGATCCTGTTTATAAAATTTAACTTCTCAAAGGAAAATGTTTCCTTTGGAGATTTCCATTTATAGAAATAATAGAGTTTTAAATGGTATAATAATGTGTTTGGGGGTTTTGTATCTCATTTTTTCCTAAACACAAACAAATTAGAACTAAGCATGCTTTTTTTTTTTCTAGATGGTACACTTTCTCACACACTATGCTGACAAGATTGAATCAGTCCATTTTTCAGACCAGTTCTCCGGTCCAAAAGTCATGCAAGAGTATGTATAAGAGATGAAATTCCCAAACAAGTCTGCTTGACTAATTTGATATTTTTTGAAAATCAACAAGGTGCCACCTGCAAATTTCCCTTGCAAAATGGGTAAGGGAAACTGGTGGCAGGCTACTGAACTTAAGTTCATGATCAGAGTTGTTTGGGTACCTATGTGAAGCAAACAAATGAAGCTCCCCTGGTTTTGCCTGTGTCTCATTGTCATTCATTTATTCATGTGTAGTGGTGAATGAAATTCTGCTAGAATGCTGCTAAGAAAATGAGTTATTGGGGCAGCTAGGTGGTGCAGTGGATAGAGCAATGGCCCTGAAATCAGGAGGACCCGAGTTCATATCCAGCCTCCTACCAAACACTTGACACTTACTAGCTGTGTGATCCTGGGCAAGTCACTTAACCCCAATTGCCTTAAAAAAAAATGAATTATTAGTCTGTTTTTCCTTCTATGGCCTTAATTTCACATCTTGATTTCCAACTGTATACTTTCATTCAATAAGCATTTATTTATCACCTACTATGTTCCAGGCATTATGCTAAGTACTACACTGTTTGATTTCTTATAAACCTTCATGCTGTGTGATTTATAGCCTCTTCTGGCTTCCTTCATAGCAGGTAATTATATGCTTTCTGATGTGAAATGTTTTCTAAAGGCAGCAACAACAATAGCCTGTAGGACTTTGAGCAGAAATTGTTCTCATGTAAACAGAACAAATACAAGGTTGCCTTGGGGGCTTGGATTTTTCCTTTAAATTGACAGTTCTGCTCAGAATAAAATTTTTACATGAAAGTATCTGTTGGGGCAGCATTACCATATTAACTTCTGACTTACATTTTCTTCAGAAGTAGGCTTTTCTCATGTGGACCATGTATTTGCTACAGTTAGGAATTGGTCTGAATTTCAGATTACTGTCAAGTTAAATAATTTTCAATATACTCTGTTTTCTCTTTCCATTTGAGGAGAAACTTATGAGTAATTTAGCCTCTATGTTATGGCTGCAAAAGAGGCAACCTTTTCTCATAGACTTGTAATCACAGATCCCCTGTCAGTTAGCAGCAGCATTGGGACTATAAAGTTATCATTTAATTTCTAGGTTTATGATTCCTAGCAGGTATTTATCTGGGCCTCTTTAGCTTTCCTTTTTGATAACTAGCATCAAAGGCAAAGGGAGAGTAAATAATTGTCTTAGGGTGGTTAAAGCAAATTGGTGGCAGTTCCCGGATTAAGGTCTGTAGCCTTACAATTTGTTTTATGTTGCTTTGCTCTTAAGCCTGATCTAGAACTGAGCTGCTTCTGCCCAGAAGATTGCCACAGATAATAGTATATGAAAAACATTCTTATATATTAAAGTATATATTAAAAAAAAGAAAACTAAAACCCTACTAAAAATATGGCTTATATTTATTAAGAATATCCTGGTCACACATACCAAAAAAGTTTCCTGATAGTGTTGGGTGGGGGGTAGGGAGGAGCTGCCACTTGTAACCTTATGTGCAAAAATTACGTAAGCAGCAATCAATTCACAAATCTCCCTAATTATTTAATTAGTTGAGACTTTTGAAATGGATATTTTAAACAAAGCACTGTGGTGACTGACATCGTGCCCCATCTGTTTTCAAGTGTGTATGTTCATCTGTTTGTGGTGACCAGCCCATACATGAGCAAGTTTTCCATGAATGGAGAATATGTCTCTTGTTCTCTGTCCAGTCAGCCTTTTCTTTTTTCTTGTAACAGGGAAGGTCAGCCTTTAAAGCTGCCCGACACCAAGAGGACGCTATTGTTTACATTTAATGGTAAGAATTGTAGGATCTATTCATGTCTTCAGCTGCTGCTCTGTGGTCTCCTTAAAGGGGAGTGTTGTGCTGTCTTTTAGATGAGGGAGGTAAAGCAACAGTACCTGACCCAGTATGATCTTTAATCCAGAAAAGAATCTTAGTTCTTTCCTATATCTTAGTTTCTGTTGTTTGTCCCATTTTATAGCTAGCTGTCTTTTAAAGGGGTGGGTGGATCTAAACTAAGAAAAATGTGGAAAACATTTCCTTTAATGATATATAAAGAAAGGAAATTTAGGATCATTAATTAATAGGAAATTGGTTTGTTTTCCAGTACCTGGCTTAGGTAACACTTCCCCAAAGGATATGGAGGCTTTGCTGCCCCTGATGAACATGGTGATTTACTCTATTGATAAAGCTAAAAAGTTCCGGCTTAACCGAGAAGTAAGTGCCATTTAGAACTTTTCCTTCAAATGGGTGAATGTTTCTTATGCCAGCATTTGTGGCTGATTCAGTGGATAGTTAGAGGGCCAAGGGGTTTGAGGATGAAAATTGCATAGAAGCCCTTTTTTGAACAAATTAAGTGGAATTTTTGCTTCTGAGCAATGGGCTATTGATTAAAATGCTTCTTTGTCTTGGGGAAAGGGCAGACAAAAAGCTGATAAGAACCGGGCCCGAGTAGAAGAGAATTTCCTGAAGCTGACGCATGTGCAGAGGCAGGAAGCTGCACAATCTCGCCGGGAGGAGAAAAAGAGGGCTGAAAAAGAACGGATCATGAATGAGGAAGATCCTGAGAAACAGCGCAGACTAGAGGTGACAGTGACTTTTTCTGTCACTAACATGACAAATCATTGGGGCCATGCCTTGGAGAGCATGGGGGCACTTTATGTTTCCCCTCCTCTCTCAATCCTGTCTTTTATTTTGTACCACTTGAGAGGTACAAAAAATGTCTCTTAGGGACATTTTCTCCATTCCAGTTCCCCCTGAAAAAAAAAAAAAAAGTACTAGGTCTGAAATCATATCTGAACTAAGACATAGACAGAAATAGCCACTAAAAATAGAAAAAAATGAAATAAAAATGTTTAATGAATTTTAAAATCATTAACAAAATTAAAAACTCCAATATACAAAGAACAAAAAGGGATTATATACATGTCTGTTACAATTTGTTTATGGAAGTATATATTAATTTAATTAGATATTAATAAAACTGCCCTACTGGTATCCCCTTTCTTCTGAATTTTTTCATTTTCTGTCTTTGTTTTGTTGACGCTCTTTTCTTTGTTTGTATCTCTCTAAGTTCCTATTAACTTATCCTGCCCCAGTAGAAAGCCCTAACTTGTAATAGATCATTCAGTAAGCCCTACTATGTATGTATCAGACACTGTGGAATACAAAGACAAAAGTGAAACTAATGCCTGCACTCAAGAGGCATACATTGTAATGGGAGAGATAGCATGTATGGCTCTAAGTATATACAGAATATATACAATATTCTATTCATCCCATGTAGTTTTTGGAGAGCACTAGTTATTACTAGGGCCATCAGAAAGGGTTCCTTTAGAAAGTGGTGTTGGAATGGAATCTTAAAGAAAACCAAAGATTCCAAGAGGTAGAGGTGAGGAGGAGCTGCATTCCAGGCATGGGGAACAGCCAGTGTAAAGACAGAAGGACATGAGATGGACATCATATGTGGTGGAATATTAAGCAGGCCAACATGCTGGACAGCAGACTTCATGCAGGGGGAGCAATGTGTGAGAAAACTGAAAAGTCAGAAAGAAACCAGGCTGTGAAGAGCTCTACATGCCAGACAGAGAAGTTTATATTTGTTCCTGAGGCTGATAGGAAGACATTAGCGTTAAATGACTTTTAGGAGAGAAGGCATGACGTGGTCAAACCTATGAAGTAGGAACATTATTCGTCAGCTAAGTGTAGGGTGGATTGGAGTAAGAAGAGGTTCAGGGCAAGGAGACTAAATAGGAGTTTATTGAAGTAGTCCAGGCAAAGGATGACAAAGGCTTAAACTGTCGCAGCTATGTGAAGGGAGAGGAAGGAACATGTACAAGATTGTGGAGATAGAATCAACATCTGGCAACTGATTTGATATGTGGGGTGCTTCAGCATGAGGAGCTGAGGATGACAATGAGGTTTCTAACTTGGGTGACTGAAAGGATGGTGGTACCCCTGATAGCAATAGGGATGTTTGGAAAGTAGGGGAAGCAAAAAAAGAAAGGTAAAGAGTTTTATTTTGGATATGTATTAGTATTGTCAAACAAATCAACACATTAGCCACATCTGAAAAGGTATGTCTCATTACACATTTCTAGTCCATCAACTCTGGCAAGAGATGGGAGCATGACTCATCGATCTACCCAAAGCTTATGACTGGTCATTGCCATGATTGGAGTTTTGAATATTTTCAAAGTTACTTTTCTTTACATTATTGTGGTCATCTTGCAAATTATTTTCCTGGTTCTGATCATACAGTTCTTCCCAGGTTTTTCTGAATTCTTCATAGTCATCATTTTTATGATACAGTAACATTCTATTACTTTCATGTTCCACAATTCTGCCTATTTCCAAAGTTTGCTTTTTATGAAATAACTAAATGGGTTTCTCCTTCTGGTCATTGTGTTAATTGTCTTTTTTTTTGGTCTTAGAAGTGGAAGACAGATTCTTCAGAGGATTGTCTCCTCAGTTGTCCTCTCTCTGTCTCTGATCAGTCTCTCCCTGTCCACTGGTTTCTTCTCTACCACAACATACCTAAGTCTCCCCTATTCTTAAAAAAAACCCCTTCACTTAATACTATTATGCTTTCAAGCTGTTATCCTTATTGCTCTTCCTTTTCTCAGCCAGATTCCTAGAAAAAGCTGTCTATGCTTTTTCCTTTCCAGCCCCTTGCCATCTGACTTCTGACTCATACATGTCATTCATCTCAAATTACTCTTTCCAAAATTACCAATAATTTCTTAAAATTGCCAAATCTAGAAATCTTTTATTAATCCTCCTCTTTCTTAACTTCTCTGCATTATTTGACACTATTGACCACCCTCTTCTGCATACTTCCTCTTCTCTAGGGTCCCATAACAGTATTCTTTCTTGGTTCTCCTACCTAATTCACAGTCATCTTTGCTGAATCTTTAGCACTATCATACTCTTTCACTGTTTGTATATTCAAAGACTCTGTCCTGGGCCCTCTTCTCTCAGCTTACCCTCTCTCTCTCTCTCTTTTCCTCTTCCCCCTCTCCCCTTCTCTTCTTTCCCTCCTTCCCCTCCCCACCCCACCCCCAACTCCAGTTCCATATTACAGATTGCCTGTTGGACTTTCCAGATTGGATACCCCATAGACATTTCAGGCATCACTCATTATATTTCCCTCAAAACCTACCCCTCTTCTGAATTTCCCTTTCACTGTTAAGCACACCATCATCCTTCTAATCATCTAGGTTCTCAACCTCTGAGTTTGCCCCAGTATTACCATGTTTAATGTTTGCTTTAAAAACCCCAATAACATGTTACACAGATTCGATGTCTCAAATACAATCCTCTTTTTCTGTTTTTTGTATAAGGAAATTTTCTTATTTGTTGATGTTTGTCAAGTTCCATCATAAAAGTAGGGGCATGATAGAGACTAGACCCTTGATTTCATTGTTATAGTGAACTCACAGAGGAGGAACTTCCTTCTGTAATACAGGCTTGTACCTTCCCTCCAATTTATAGTCCTTAGAGAGCTGCCTGGAGCACTGAAAGGTTAAATGATTTCCCAGGGTAACACAGCCCCAGGTCTTCCTGGCTCCAAAGCCAGCTGTGTCTCCACTGAAGCAGAAATGTCAAACTCAAGGCCCACAGAACTCCAGAGTGCAGTTTGAACCAAATTAAAATGTAATTGGGAAATGTTTAACAAAACAGATAAAAATACAATCCAGCATAGATAATGCTAATTTGTCATTTCCTAAGTAAATATCCCAGCAGCAGGGATGCCTTTCTCTTTGAGTTTGATACCACAGTACTGTACTAAGACACACTGCCTCTCTTTAAAAAAATCTTCCCCCCCACCTCCAAAAAAACAACTAAATTGAGTTTACTTAGCTCTTTGCTTCATTAATCCAAGTTAGTGTTGACACACCAACAGAGGGTAATAGATAGCTATGTCTGGAATTTGGTAGCTTTAACTGAAATGTTAAAACTCCTGCATAGGGAAATTTTGAACAGTAATATAGGCAAGGCACTTTTTTTTGGTCAGGTTTGGGGGTTAACTCTGTCTTTTGCTTAATTTTGGATTCTCGCTCAATAGGAAGCTGCCTTGAGACGTGAACAGAAGAAGTTAGAGAAGAAACAACTGAAAATGAAGCAAATCAAAGTGAAATCCATGTAAATCGAAGGAGCTGGCTGATTCCACTTATAAGCTCTGAATTCCCGGGGTACAAAAAAAGTCCATTTCTCATCTTTAATTTCAAACACTCACCACTTTGGGAAATCCTCTTTGTATCATCAGCACTTTTTCTTGGTTTAGAGTTTTACAAAGTATGTATATGAGTTTGAAGGACTCTGTTTCAATAATTTTTTTTCCAGGTAATCAAATTGCTTTGACTATTTTTAAAAGAAATGATAGTTCATATCTCTGTGGTTTTTTTTTTTATTTTAAATTGTAAAATGAATCATCAGTGCTAGTCACATTTCAGTGCTTCTTGTTTTTAAGATATTTGATGTCTATAAGCAAAATCTTTGTTGCTTACGGGCAATTGAAATGGCTAGAGAAAACTCTAAAACCAGGATTTCCCAAATGACTATTGAAATTGCACAATAAACATTGCTTGGTGTCACTTTCTGTGTCTCCATTAAGCTTGTTAAGGAGTACAATTTAGAGCACTACAAATATGATTTGAATTTTCAGGAACGCAGAATTAATGTAATTTCTGATTTGTAGGTGGGAGGTGCTGATGACAGTATTATGAAATATCATGCTGTCTATGATCATTTTTTAGGATACTTGTATGATAAAAAGTTCTTGGTAGTTGAAATATCAGGGAAAGGTATTACAGGAGCAGTTTTCCTTCTTACCTGGTGCCACGAGCTCATCAAAAAGTGAATGCTGTATTTTAAATGATTGTGTGTACTTTTTCTTGAACAACAAAACATGATAAACGGACAGCTTCACCTCAGGCAGTTCAGTGGGCTCTCAAATTCTGTGAAGTTAATTCTTAAAATGTTTTCTTTCTTGGTTGCTGCTGCCTGTCAAATGTTTACTGAGGATCTCTTCTAGAAGGTGGCTATGCACCTTTGATTTTCTTTCTGCTGTCGCCCTTCTCCTACTTGAAGTCAGGCAGATCCTTTGGGTGGAGAGGAGTATCTCTAAGCAATCGAGAGTTGTGGCTGCTTCCCAAGGAAGCAGCTTTTAAGGGCGAGACCTGTCTGCACGAGTACTTTGCTTGGTCAGATCTCTGCATTTTATAAATGCTTCCTTCTAAGAAAGCATTTTTTAGTAACTGCTTGTACTGGGTATTTTGTGTTGGGATGGGGAAGGGTTGGGTTTTTTCTTGGGGAGGGGGAGGGATTTTGTTGATGCTTTCTGTGCAGATCTGTTCTGAGGCAATAATAATGAATTGCTGTGGAAACAGCATATGCTGAAGACGCCTTTGTTACTGCATGTAAACTTTTCACTGAATTTTTATCTTGGAGAATGCCAAATCCTGTAATTTGGAGATGTGAATGTAACTTTTAACAATTCATAAAATTAAATTATTAAAGTAACATACTTACATGGAATTTAACTATTTTAATGCTTTAATTTTAGAATTAGTATTGTTCCACAACTTTTAAAGATACTATAGTAAGGAAAGTTAATGTGCTATAATGTCTTTTGATTAAATGAAAGCTTTCTTAAAGACTTATACATTTGGGCTATGGCAGCTAATTTTTATAATATGAGCATTCATATGAACTACCTATGAACATATTAAAATAATTGACCAAACATTGAGTGCCTTTCTTATTTTACTAGTGTTGTCCTTTTTCAAGACTATGAAATTCAGGACTATTATCTCTCTCTGTGCAAGGTCAGCATTTGAGGCATCTCTTTAAAATTAATATCCTTTCCTGTTCACCCTTGCCTTATCACACCATGTTCCCTGTCATCAGTGAGTATGTTCAAGAATTACATGGGATGAATGGATTCTGATTTGTACCAATGGATAGAGTACCCTAATTCTGAGAAGGCCTGAATTGTGTCAGTGATGAATCCTAAGATGTGTTTGGTTCTGAAAGCCCTTTATGAACTTTCTGGGCAAGTCCTCAGAGTTGTGCCACCACTATGGCCATCTTTAGCCACAGAGAGGAGAGGGTTGCCTACTTTCCCAAAGGAGCAGATGAATCAAACCTCTCAGCACTACTTTCTGGAGTTCATTGCTTTGCCACAGAGTAGAACTACCAGCATCTGGTAGAACTGGCCCTGTTTTAAGAGGTTTTGCCTATACTTTGCTTAGTCTAGCTCTGCTGCCTTCCCTTCTGCCCAACTCATTGGAGGAGAGTTCTGACTCTATCTATGAAAATGGGCATAGGCTTCTTCCTTCTTATTAGGAAACCTGACAGATTTAAAACTGCTTGGAAGGGTGGGGAAGGAGGGTGTCTCCTTAAATTATGTGCTAGCTTTATAGAGCACGTTGTCCCTTGCTTGAATAACTACAACAGCATAGTCCTGCCCTTGTGGAACTTACAGTATGGCACCAGGATAGGACTATTACACCAATAATTATAATGGTTAGTACTAGGGTCAGAGAGGACCCATTGGAATTATCTTACTAGACAAGGGGAACAGACTCACCATCTTTCAGGAAAATTCTCAGTGACTGACACTTGTGACATTATACATCTTTAAGAATTGAATCATCAGAATTTAATATGTATCTTGCTCTTTAACATGTATCTTGGTGTTGGGTGATAAAATTTTGTTTTAGTGGACTTTGCCCTCCCTGCTGCTGGTTTTCTAAGGGGGAGGTTGTTTGGTTTAGGGACCATACTCTGTTCCTCCTCAGACTGGGAGCCATGTTGATGGATCCAAAGATTCAAGGAGAAGACAGCTGTGCCATGGAAGTGGCTGCACTCATTTCTGTAGCTAACTTTTTTTTTAATTTTTAAAATTTTAAACCTAAATACAAAAAAAAGAAAAGAAAAAAGAAACAAACTTAAATACTAAAACTAAAATAATACAAAATAAGAAAAAAAAGCATTGCCCTGTACACAGCAGAACATGAGAGAGGATTCAAAATATGCAACAATAAATTTCCATTTCAGGAAAGCCTATGTAATAAATACTACACATTGTGTTGAGAGTTGTTCATCTTTTCTTTGCTTCCTTGTAAGTTTTCTTTTGTTCTCTGCTGTATACTTTTTGTTTTGTTCTTCCTTTCCTCCCTCCCTCCCTCCCCAAAGGCTGCAATTAAGCACAGATATATTTATAGATAGATATATGTGTATGTCCGTACATATATATATACACACACACACACACACACATATATATATATACACACATACATGCATGGACATATACACATATACATATTTGCACATATACCCATATATACATAGAATTATTCACATATATACTTAGATATCTATATCGTACTCATATATAGACATATATTCATGTGCATCTATGTAAGACCGTACCACATTTATTTGTCCACTATTTCTCTGAGAATGGATAACCTCTTCCTTTATAAGTCCATATTTTTCCAGGTCCCCCAACTGGTCATTTCCTACACCACAGCAATGTTCCAGCCTTATACTAATTGTTGTAAATAATCCAAAACAATGTTGGTGAATTATGCCTGACACAGTGTAGTTTCCCTGTTTTTCTCTTTTGATTAAATCTATTTTAGTCTTAACTTTGTCTGAGATCGTGATTACTACCCCTGCTCCTTTTTTCCTAACAAATTCTACCCCTGATCTTTATTTTATATATAGTCAACTCTCAAAACAGAATACTTTTGGGGGCAGCTAGGTGGCACAGTGGATAGAGCATCGGGCCTGGATTCAGGAGTACCTGAGTTCAGATCCAGCCTCAGACACATAACACTTACTAGCTGTGTAACCCTGGGCAAGTCACTTAACCCCATTGCCTAGCCAAAAAAAAAAAAAAAAACCAGAATACTTTCCTTAATTTGGAGGAACTACCAAGTAACAAGATACTTGGATATTACAGAAGCCATGGAATCTTCATTATGACTCAAATTGAGTTCTATCCCTTGGTCAGAGTTCTGGGAAGTACATGCTAATATTTTTAAAATTCCAAAGTAGATTTGCCATGGAGAGTATACCCTCATTTTTTGGGACTTCTATGAAATATAGGAATTTACTAAATGGTGTTTATGTCAGCTTTGCTGAAGGTATGTAAATTTTCATTTCGTAGTATCATTTTAGGGAAAAACAGGAATAAAGTAAGCACTCAACAAGACTGTAGCAGAGCCTGGACTGAAATTTCATCCTCCAGAACACCGCACTACATTTGGAGTTCTAGTCCCAGTTCTCTCATGAATCAGCTGTCAGACCATGGACAAGTAACTTAATTTGCTTTACCTTCCTCTATAAAATGGGAATAATACCTGCCTATCTCACAGGTAAGGAGAATCAAATGAAATAATGGATGGAAAAATACTTTGAATAGTAGAAAATTTTCTACAAATGTTCCATTTGCTAAATGGCATAATAGAGTTCATTTTATAGGATTGTAGATTGAGAGCTGAAAGGGACTGTCATTCAACTCTAATTTTACATAAGAGGAAACTGAGTCTGAGGAGCTTGAATGACTTGCCTAAGGTCATACAGGTCATAAATGGCAAAGCCAGGATTTCAGGCTCTTTGACTCCAAATTTAGTACTCTTTCCACTGTACTGAATCATCACCAAGTGTTTTTATAAGTCTTTCTGGATACTTTACTCATAATTGTTTAATCTGGCATCTCTTGAGGTGTTCAAAGTACTTTACATTTTCTCCTTAAATCAGAATATTCTGCCCAAACTAAAAGGGACCCTGGTAAAGCATCTCATCCATCTTCCTACCTTCAGATGAATTCAATCTAAACCAGGGGAAGCAAATGGTCATTACATCCATTTTTAGAGCTCTCCAGAAATCCTAGAGGTAGGAGATTCAGAGACTTGTCCCAGTTCACTTGGCAAGGCAGAATCAAAACAAGAAAATAAATACTCATTTAAATGGCCTCTTAGTGATTTGAATTTTCTTTGCTTGTCCATGGTCTTGGTTATATCCTTTAAAATTGCGTGGAATTATGAACCTCTTTTCAAATTTTTTTTCTGAATTATTGCTTACTTTCCCCCCAGAAAAGTGAATGTATGACTGTGTTAGGCAAGATGATTTCATCTAGGTTTCATGTGCCAGGCCTGAGGAAATAAGATGAAGTATCCAGGATGTAAGCTTTGGCATTTAGAGATGTTCTGTATATTAACACTTCCATTGATGGGCAAGCAGTCTTCTGCTTCCTGCTTCCGACAAAACATTTGTCTTTAAGGGGCAGCTAGGTGGCGCAGTGGATAGAGCATCAGCCCTGGAATCAGGAGGACCTGAGTTCAAATACAGCCTCAGACATAATGTTCACTAGCTGTGTGACTCTGGGCAAGTCACTCAACCCCAATTGCCTCACCAAAAAAAAACCAAAAACATATTTGTCTCTATGCCAATTCCTTCTCCATGGACTATGTACCTTCCCTTCTCCATTTGTTGAATTTCTATCTATTCCTGCACCTTATCCCAACTCAGAGACCACCTCCTTCACCAAGCCTTGCCTGCTTCCTCAGGAAGGATCAAACTTCTCTCTCAGATCTCACATGACACTCTACTTCATATCGATAATGCACTTCCAGTTGAGGACCTCAGGGATCTGTAATGTCATCTGCGTGGGTACTCTCCACTGACACAGATCTCCTATGACCCAGTTGATAGTAGATGGTCTTTGAGAGTTACTGTGACTGAAAAATTTATCACTTGGCAGCCAACCCCAGTGATGAACCTCTCTGAAAGTAGCTCCTTTGATCTTCAGATAACAGACCTCACTGAGCTTATAGTCATGTAAGCCTTCCCAGACTGGTAGTACCTACCAAAGCTTGTGTACCACTTCAAACATTCAGGCTCACCTCCATGACACAGTGAAGTATATAATATATTATGGTAATCTGTGTTTTTCTTACCCCTCCACTTTCTCCCCTGCTCCCGATCATCCTATAAATTTTATGAGAGCAGTGATAGTGTCTTATCTAAACTTTGTATCTCTGCCAGTGCCAAACAGTGCTATGTACACCCTAGACAATACATTTTTTGAGTTAACTATTTTTTAATTGTGCTATCTTAGGATAAAATCAGTCAAAATTTTGATTAGGCAGGTAATATGGTAAAGTAAGAATGTTGGAACTGCAGTCTAGAGGGAATTGGTTATAAATCATGCCTCTTGACACTTGCTGACATTGTAACCATGGACAAGTTGCTTGACTTCTTTGGTCATCTGTAAAATGGAAATAGAAATATGGTCTTTTCTCACAGGACCAAAGGAAAAGTATACAAAGTGCCTTATTAATCTTAAAGCACTAAGTAAATGTCCGCTGTTTTTACTGCTGGACTGTTCTTGGCTAGGCTAGCCAGGCCAGGCTTGGCAAAGAGCTGCCCTTTTTCACCATTGGTCGCATAGGTTTGGTGACATTTTTATGTGCTTGAAAAGCTGCTGGGTTGTTAAAGAACACCGGTGGG